GGGAGAGGGAATTTGGGATGGGCAGGGAAAGGGGATTTGGGGTTGGGATGGAGATGGAATTTGGGATGGGCAGGGAAAGGGGATTTGGGGTTGGGAAGAAGAGGGAATTTGGGATGGGCAGGGAAAGGGGATTTGGGGTCGGGAGAGGGAATTTGGGATGGGCAGGGAAAGGGGATTTGGGGTTGGGAGAGGGAATTTGGGATGGGCAGGGAAAGGGGATTTGGGGTCGGGAGAGGGAATTTGGGATGGGTTGGGAGAGGGAATTTGGGATGGGCAGGGAAAGGGGATTTGGGGTTGGGATGGGGATGGAATTTGGGATGGGCAGGGAAAGGGGATTTGGGGTTGGGATGGGGATGGAATTTGGGATGGGCAGGGAAAGGGGATTTGGGGTTGGGATGGAGAGGGAATTTGGGATGGGCAGGGAAAGGGGATTTGGGGTTGGGAGAGGGATTTTGGGATGGGCAGGGAAAGGGGATTTGGGGTCGGGAGGGAGAGGGAATTTGGGATCTGGGGCTGTGTCCCCACCCCTGGGAATCTGGGAATTGCGCCGGGGTGATCGTGCCGAACCCCGCCGAGTTTTCCCGAGGGTTTTGGGGGAATCCGGCCGCCCCAGTCCCAATTCGGGAGGCCCCAGCTGCCTCTGGGAGCCGTCCCAGCTTCCCGGGTTCCCATGGAAATCCCATTCCCACCGAACCAACCCCGAAAAAGCCTCGGGCCCCTTTCCCAAGGCCCCGGGAAAGGGGGGAAGGGGTCAAGGAGGCGAAAACAATTCCTTTGTCCGGAATTCCGGATGATCCCGCACGGATCTCCATGGAAACCGAGGCCTTTCCCCGCTCCCGCCATTGTCTGGGAGACGGGAATGGGGCCAGGAGACACTGGGGGTCCCAGTATGGCCCAGTATCCCCAGGAAGGGCTGGATCCTTCCCAGTATTCCCAGTAAGGGCTGGATCCTTCCCAGTATGGCCCAGTATCCCCAGGAAGGGCTGGATCCTTCCCAGTATGGCCCAGTATCCCCAGTAACGGGTGGGTCCTGTACCAGTGTGTCCCAGTTATCCCAGTAATGGGGTTGATCCTATCCCAGTGTGTCCCAGTACCCCCAGTAATGGGATTATCCTGTCCCAGTATGTCCCAGTATCCCCAGTAAGGGGCGGATCCCATCCCAGTATCCCCAGTAACGTGCTGATCCCATCCCAGTATGTTCCAGTAAGGGGCGGATCCCATCCCAGTATGTCCCAGTATCCCCAGTAAGGGGCGGATCCCATCCCAGTAGCCCCAGTAACGTGCGGATCCCATCCCAGTATCCCCAGTAAGGGGCGGATCCCATCCCAGTATGTCCCAGTATCCCCAGTAACGGGCGGATCCCATCCCAGTATGTCCCAGTATCCCCAGTAACGGGCGGATCCCATCCCAGTAGCCCCAGTATCCCCAGTAAGGGGTGGATCCCATCCCAGTATCCCCAGTAAGGGGCGGATCCCATCCCAGTATCCCCAGTATCCCCAGTATCCCCAGTAAGGGGCGGATCCCATCCCAGTATCCCCAGTAAGGGGCGGATCCCATCCCAGTATCCCCAGTATCCCCAGTATCCCCAGTATCCCCAGTAAGGGGCGGATCCCATCCCAGTATCCCCAGTATCCCCAGTAAGGGGCGGATCCCGTCCCAGTATCCCCAGTATCCCCAGTATCCCCAGTATCCCCAGTATCCCCAGTATCCCCAGTAAGGGGCGGATCCCAGTATCCCCAGTATCCCCAGTATCCCCAGTATCCCCAGTATCCCCAGTATCCCCAGTATCCCCAGTATGAGGGCTCGCTCACCGGCGGCTCCGGCTCCGTCCCGGCGCTCTCCGGGGCCTGTGGAGCGTCCGGCGCCTCCGGAGGGGCCGGCATGGGACACGGGCCGGGCATGGGGGGCTGCTCACGGCACGGGGGGGCCGCCCTGGAGCCAAGGAGCCGAGGAGCGGGAATTCGGGAGCTCCTCCCAAATTCCCGAGCCCCGGAAACTCCCCAGTCCCGCCGGACCCCGAATCCAGCTCCGAATCCAGTTCCCAAATCCAGTTCCCAAATCCCACCAGTTCCCAAATCCAGTTCCCAAATCCAGTTCCCAAATCCAGTTCCCAAATCCCACTAGTTCCCAAATCCAGTTCCCAAATCCAGTTCCCAAATCCAGTTCCCAAATCCCACCAGTTCCCAAATCCAGTTCCCAAATCCAGTTCCTGAATCCAATTCCCAAATCCAGTTCCTGAATCCAATTCCCAAATCCAGTTCCCAAATTCAATTCCCAAATCCAGTTCCTGAATCCAATTCCCAAATCCAGTTCCTGAATCCAATTCCCAAATTCAATTCCCAAATCCAATTCCCAAATCCAGTTCCCGAATCCCGCCAGTTCTCGAATCCCACTAATTCCCAAATCCAGTTCCCAAATCTCGCCAATTCCAAAATCCTGCCAGTTCCCAAATCCAATTGTCAAATCCAATTCCTAAATCTCGCCAATTCCCAAACCCTGCCAATTCCCAAATCTCGCCAATTCCCAAATCCCACCAATTCCCAAATCCAGTTCCCGAATCCCACCAGTTCCCAAAATCCAATTTCCAAATCTCGCCAATTCCCAAATCTCGCCAATTCCCAAATCCAGTTCCCAAATCCCACCAGTTCCCAAATTCAATTCCCAAATCCAGTTTCCGAATCCCGCCAGTTCCCGAATCCCACCAGTTCCCAAAATCCAATTTCCAAATCTCGCCAATTCCCGAATCCCGCCAATTGCCAAATCCAGTTCCCAAATGCGCCAATTCCCGAATCCCGGCGCTTGGGAATTCCTTGGGAGCACCGTGGAGAAGCGATTGGACCCCACCCCAGGCATCCCAAAACTTTTGGGAATCATCATCCTGAATGATCAGCTGGGATCAATTTGGGATTCTCCAGGAATCCCTGAGTTTTCCAGGAATCCCAGTGTCTCCAGCTGAAGTGAACTTGGGATTTTCCAGAAACCCTGGGGTTTTCCATGAATCCTGGGATTTTCCGGGTATTCCGAGGTCTCTTGGGCCCAGCTTGTGGATTCAGCCAAAATACATTTGGGATTTTCCAGGAATCCAGGAGTTTGCCAGCAGTTTTCCAAAGGGAATTCAGGAATCCCAGCAGGAATCTGGGATCCAGGAGCTCCTCATCCTCTGGTTCCAGCAGGAAAAAAAAAAAAAGGGACTTTTCTTGGGATCTTTTCCAGCAGAGCCGGTTCCACAGCCCTGGAAAAGTCAGGAACGGATTCCCGGACTCTGGGAGACGCCGGGAGCCAGAGCAGGATGCAAAACAGGAGGAGGAAAATTCCTATTTTTTAATCCTGGGATGATCAAAGCTCCCAAAAAATCCCCCCAGGGCCGGAGAGGCTTCGCCATTCCCAACGTCTTCAAGTCCAGGCTGGAATTTTTCCTGGGATGGGGCTCGGGATCAAAGTCCTGAACCTCAAATCCAATGTTTGGGATTCAAATATTCCCAAAAGAATGAAAATAATTAAAAATAAAAAGTAGATCCAAGCGTTTCCAGAGGTAAAACTTCTTCTCAATGGCTCCAGAGGGAGAATTCCAAGACGAAAATCCTCTCCTTCTTGATCCGGGGTTCTGGGAATGAATTTTCCTTGGAAAAATCCCACTTGGAGAGGGAGAATCCGGCGGATGAAGGATCTGGGATTCCATCCTGGAGGGAATGGGGTGGGAGCATCCCAAGGCTCCTTTGCCAGGAGAATCCAACTCCGGGATCCAGTCGGGAATCTGGGATGTGCTTCCAAAGGGAGTGAGAATCCTGGGATTGTCCAGGCTGGGAAAGATCTCCGAGGTCACCGAGTCCGAGATGGGATGGATCGACATCCGAATTCCAGGAATTCCCTCCAGGGATGGGATCCAGCCCTCCCTGAGCCCCTTCCGGCGCTTCCCAGCCCTTTTCTCATGGAAAAATCATCCCGAATTTCCCACCCTGGCACAGCTCGAGGCCGTTCCCTCTTGTCTGGACCCCGTTCCCTGGAATCAGATCCCAAATCCCCCTGATCCCACTTTTCTCTGGGATCACCCCCCAGGTCCCTCAGGATCCTCCGTTCCCTTTTCCAGCGGCTCCAGCCCCGTTCCCATCCATGGAATTTCCCACTTCCCTTCCCAGCCCCTTTTTCCATGAGGATCCAAACCTGGAAAACCGAATTCCAGAGCTGGAATCCCAAATTCCCAGCAAAAAAATTCCTGGGGATTCTGGAATTCCCACCCCACATCTCTAAACTCCCCCATCCCAAATTCCTGGGGAGCGCTCAGGATTCCCTGGAGAAATCCCAAATCCAAGCTCCCCGTCCCTTCCAACAATCCCAAGGACGCCCCAAAGCCGCTTCCAGGTGGCTCCACAGGATTTGGGAAGGACGATCCCAGAAATCCACGTCCTCGCTCGGAATTCCGATGTTTTCTCCAGGAGAAACCCCAAAACCCCAATTCCTGCCCCGAAAGGACACCCGGCTCGCCCAGGACTGGGGCTGTGGATCCGTGAGAACTCTTCTCCAGCAGCTGCCGATCCTTTGGGATGCTCCCAATCCAATATCCACGTCCAGGATCCCGGAGAAGCGGCCGGGACGGGATCCGGGCGGGATCGAGGAACGCTGCCGATGTTTTCATCCAGTCCCGGGATCCGCAGGGAACTCCTTGGATTTGGGGCGGTGCTGGCCGGAATTCCGAGCCGGGAATTCCCAAATCCCTTCCCAGGATCTTCTTCCCGAGCATCCCGGGCCGGACAATAAATCCACAAAAGCTCCGCTTGGAAAAACGATCCCAAATCCCGAATGAAGCCGGATCCCTCGGGCCCCATTGTCTGCCGGCAGCCGGGGAAAACAAGGAGCATCCCATGGGATCATTCCCAAGGCTGGGATCTCCCCGGCCCCTCTGGAATTCCGGGCGGGGGACACGGGGTGACCTCACCCCGGAGCGGCCGCCCCCAGGTCCCCCTCTCCGGCCGCCGCCTGTTAATTGTTGATTGTTCATTAATTAAATCATCCCAGCTTCACAAAGCCCCTGGAAAATCCTCGGGATCCTGTCTGACTCCAGCCCCATCCTCGGATTTCTGGGATGGAGAAAATCTTCTTTTCCAGGAGATCCGAATTATTCCCAAATCTCCTTTTTTGTGTGTGTGCGTGTGTTTTGATTTCTTTTTGTTGTTCTGTTGCGTTTTCACCTCCGCCCGCGGCGGGGGAAAAGGATCCCAAAGGAAAAAAATCATCCCAGGCCGGGCTCCTCCCGGGAACTCCCGGCGGCTCCGCCGGGAACCGGCTCGGGATCCAGGAACCGGCTCGGGATCCAGGAACCGGC